ACTGCGTTACCTACATTTATGTCTTGACCTTTCTTTTTCTCCTACTATCTCCTAGAATGCAGGCCCATTTCCTTCTAATCTCTGAATCTCTCTCAAAGACCATCATGGACAAAACATTGATACGTATTAAATGCTTCCTGGAACCGTGTCTGAATTCTCTCCCTATTCATTGCATTTGACTTATGATATAAAAAGCCACATGCAGTTTAAAGAGTGAACACTTCTTACCACTGCGGGAGGGAAGGCAGCCTGAATGCGAGAATGCACAGGCCAAGGCCAAGCTGCTCTGGTACCTGGGGAGCCAGCACGGGCCCCCCTCACTTCCTGGCCGGCCCCTTCCCACGACCCCCTCCCCGTGACCTGCTGCCGCTGCTCTCTCTGGGGCAGGAAACACAGGAAGCACCCTCCTCAGCAGCCCCTAGGATACTGCATGCCTCAGTGCTCCTTTTTCGGCCTGCTAATTCTAGGCTACATTAAGCAGGGCTGAACAGGTCAACAAAATGACTGAGGAAGTCTAGGGATTTTTAAAGCCAATGCACAGTGGTGATTAGTGGTCTATTTGATTGACTATAATAACAAAACTCCAAAAAGCCCCTCTACACCCCTTTCTTCCCTGGCGTGGCACCAAGCACCGCAGGGCAACTCAGAGTCTGACCAAACCTCCTCCGAGTTGGGGTTTCCAGGGTAGAACTCCATGATGCACCCCAGCAAAGAGTACGACCCACAGGCACATCTCCCAAGTGTCGCTGGGCATTTGCCTTCTTGTTTTAATGTATCCCCACCCTCCCTGAATTAAAACCAATTCGGAGCCCAGGAAAACACCTGCTGCCATCCATTTTGCTCAGCCAGTGCATGTGACAGGGCTGACAAGAAGCAAAGTTACCTGAAATGTCCTTTGCTACGCTTTGTTGATAAGAGATGGTCAAATATTCCTAAAACAGCATGCAGTCAATAACTGGCATCCCAAACCTGAGCTGCCTGGAAATTCTGGCCACAAGGACTCAAGCGAGGAGTATCATTTCTCTTCTCCTTAGGAGGCTGAGGGGAGGAGGGCGCCTGGCTGGCTCAGTTGGTGGAGCGTGTGATTCTTGATCTCGGGGTTCTGAGTTCAAGCCCCACATTGGGTGTAGAGATTATTTAAAAATAAAATAAAATAAAAATCTTTAAAAAAAACTCCAACAAGGCTGAGGGGACCCCCAGGCTGAAGCCATCTCTGGGCCACTAGCTGTGCTGCCCAGCGGCCACCCCTTGCTAGTCACCCCACCTCCTCTCGGGCACGCCGACAAGGCCATCAGTCATTATAGCTGGCCCAGCTGACCGAGCTCACCTAAACCAGCAGCCATAAATAAATGCCCTTCCCTGAAAAATGTGTCAGGTGAGGCTCAGCAACCAAATGAGTGATGTCTGCATTGCAAACCTTCCACTTCCACTGGAGGCTGACCTTCACCTGGTCCCACGTCACCTGGAAAGTCAGCCGGGCATCTGCATCACTGGCAATGACAGCTTGGCACCTGCCACTTGCCTGACGCTTTAGGAAATGCTCCCACATGCATTGTCTTACTTGTGCCTCAGCTCAGCTCTGTGACCTGGGGGGGCGGGGGGGGGGCGCCAGACCCATTTTACAGATAAAGAAACCGAGACCCAGTGAGGAGAAGGACTGGTTCCAAATCCAAGTCCTCTGGCTCCGACACCCTTGCTGCCCCCCCTCTGAGCGCCTGCCTCAGCAAGGCCACTCCAGGAACCCTTGGAGGTCGCGTCCTGGCCCTCTGAGGCTAACGCGCTCTCATTACACCCTCTGCAGAGCTGAGCAAGAGGGTTTTTTTTCATCCTTCGCAGGCTTGCTGCTGCCACCCAGAGGGAGAGGAGAACTAGCCACGAGACAGATGTGGCTGTGTGGGGCTCAGATAGGACCAGGTATTCTGTCCCAACAGGAGGAAAGAGGCTGCGGGCGGGGGGGGGGGGGGGGGGGGGGGGGGGGGGGGGGGGGGGGGCAGGGAGAGAGGAAAACGGGAGGAGGAGAGAGGAGGAAACAGAAGATCTGCAGCACGCTCTGGAGGAGACACGAGTAGAAGTGGGAGGAGAAAACCCCAAACAGCAGCAGAGGCTGGGAACCATCCCCAGCAACCTCTCGTCCCTGGGTCCCGAGCCTCCTCCCAGGGAGGCAGGATGACGACAGACCACTCGCTGTTGGAGGGTCGGACCCAGCCTCTGCGCACACAGATGGACTTTCCCCTGAGTGGAGCAGTGCTGGAAGGATGGATGGCCGAACCCGGCAGCCAGGTCACCGTGGGCACACGGGAGCAACACTACCCATAGTACCAGCCTCGAGCGGTGGCAGTGCCCGGGAAAGAGCCGACGCCGTGAGGATCAAGGACGGTGAAGTAAGAGCCTTGGTCTGGGACTCGGATTCTTTCTGAAAGAGACCCAAGTTCACTAGTTTGTTCACGTACTCTTGGGAAAGATGGGAGGATTATAAACGAATAAGATTAATTACTAAATCTCATTAAGGCCTCAGGGAGGACAACTACAAAGCTGAATGCATCGAAGTACATTTCTAAAGAAAAAGATGTGCTTTATCAATTCCCATCTCTTATTGCGAAGCTCTTCTACAGCCCATTTTCTTAATCCTTGCAAATCAGTCAAACCCCGTCCGTGATATCCTTCCAGATACATATTTTTAAAGTGCAGAGGGGCGCGTGGGTGGCTCAGTCGGTTAAGCATCTGACTCTTGGTTTTGGCTCAGGTCATGATCCCAGGGTTGTGAGATCGAGCCCCATGTTGGGTTCTCTGCTGAGCATGGAGCTTGCTTAAGATTTTCTCTCTCCCTCTCCCTCTGCCCCTCCCTGCCACTCTCTCTCTCTCTCCCCCAACCTAAAAAATAAATAAAGATAAAAATAATTTAAAAAATTAAGTACAGAAAAGCAAAAAGGAGCAAACACATCAGAAGATGGGATGTGGGAAGCCACTGGTGCTTAGGGACAGCAACTACCTCCAGGTGCCCCCACCTACTCCACAGAGATCCTGGCTGTGCACGTCCATTGACAATGATGCAGGCGGGGCTCCTGGGCCCCGAGAGACCCACTGCTCTAAGTCAGGCGGCCTGGCAGCACTGGACACGCCCAAACCTCCTGCTGCTCTCTCTCCTTTCATCCACAGTTTGTGGTCCCCGAACTGGCCTTCACCTCCATCTACCCCAAAGTGATCTCTCATTACTGCTGCAAAGGACATTGCAGCTGGCGAGGACCCTCTAGAGAAGCTGGCCAACCCTATCACTGGTCTCTGGAGCCCAAAGAGAAGAGCGAGGGGACAAGAAAGGAGGAGAAAAGGCTTCAAAGTTAAACAGTCTCTTCACTTTGGCCACGTCAATGGGAATCTCCTTGAAATTGGGTAAAATAAAAAGAGAAATGAGCCGGTAAGCAATTCCTGGCATGTAATCCATCTTCTAGGACAAACCTCTCATCATTATTATTTTTTAGTTGGATTCCAGTGGGCAGGGAGCATTTCAGGGCAGGACGTCAGAGCCCAAGAGGACTAGCTTCTTCCTCTTCAGTGAGTAGGCTTCAGATGAAAATAAATTATCCAGCCCACCTTTACCAATCTTACACAAAACGTTTTCAATAGAAGGTATTGGTTCGGCACCCCTGAGAGCCCCAAGGGAATGCACTCCTGCCTCTGGACTTGCATATGGGAGTCAACCACATACACTTACAGGTCAGAGGGAGAGAGAGCAAGGTTGGGGGTCCTCTGTGATGATCACCATTTATTGTTAAAAGGGAGAAGAAACAAATCACTCAAAAAAATATTCCATGTTCGCTCCCTTGTCCCTCTATTAATAGCATCATAGGAAAGAGAACTAAAAATTCAGCTTAGAGGACATGCACTGTTGCTCAGATGATCTCAATCAGTGGCAGATGAGATCAAACTCGAAAGCATCTTCCTGGCCGCCAAGGCCTCAAGCCAGTCCAAACCTTGGGGTGTTATTGTGGGCTTTCACACGCCATGCCGATCTGAACCAAAGGTCTTTGGAGCCAAGCAGGTCTTCTCCACCAACAATTTAATGGGATTTGGAGAAATAAGCATTTGCAGGCAACAAATGAGAAATGTTTGCATGTGGCTCTGAGCCAGCGAACAGAAGAAATGCCACTCCCATGAGCTACGCCCCAAGGTTTGAAGCTCTTGAAAATGAAGAGGGAGGAAATCCACCGTTCATTTATCCAAAGGCTGGGACTCGTGTCCCCTCTGTGGTTCTAAGCACTATTTGGCTATTCCTAGAGGAAAGGGAACAGGCCTACGAGGAGCTACAGAGAAGCCAGATACCTACTGTGGGTCTTCATGCACATCTATCCTGCAGCACAAGGTCAAAACAAGGGACAGCTGAAGAGATTTGGAACAGAATCATCACCTTCCTCATAAGAGCAACACAAAAAGGAAAACAAACGTCAAATGTACTGGAGAGCTATCCCTCACGTTCACGTCAGTAAACTTTCCTAAATCCTTTGCAAAGGCAGCTCAAGTGGAAAATGTGCCCGTGTGACGTCAGAGCCACACTCACTTTCCTAAAAACTGTTGGGGATTTGGCAGACCCAACTCTTGGAACTGAGAAGCCACTCAGGAGATGACCCTGTGTGCTGGGATTTCCAAGTCATTGACTCGTCCCCCAATGGAAGGGGCTGGTCTGTGCGGTACCGCTGCCGAGGAGGAGGGGTGGCAGAAAGCTCGCTCCCAGCAGACCCACCCGCTGGGCTGGGGCTTCGAACCTGTGACTCCTCCTCACAAAGGAGCCCTCCTTCCTCCCTTCTCCCACCTTCAGACCTCATGGCAAAGGGAGAGAGCCGGGGGAGAAGAGACAAAAGAGCCTACATTCATGATTTTAAAAGACTCTTCCAATTGTAGTTCATGTTCAAAATTGCTTTCATACGATAGCTGAACCGGAGACAGCATGGTGAGGCTTTCTATTTTCCTTCTTTAGGAACCTGAGTTAAAAAACGAAGAAGGCTTACCCATTTTTGAAATAGAGGACATGGGCTCTCTGAAGTCCTGTTTCTAGGAAAAAACCTAGTTCTTGATCGTGGGGAGCAGGGCCAGGCTTAGGGCTTCTGTTTTGAATATTGGTAAGTATTACCTGGAAGGGGAGAAAATCGGAAAACTAATCAGATCCATATCCAAGCCTAGTCCCTTCAAACCGCATCTCTACACGCACTGCACGACAACCTGACAAATCAGCTTCCTCACGCCAACACGGGTGCACAGGGACTGGTGCAGAAGTGAGCACAAAAATTAGGACAGCTGAGAGAATGACATCTCTGAGCCAGGGCATGCGTGGCTCTCCTGGCACTGAAGGGTGCTGAGGGGTGCTCGGTGCCAGGCGGAGCACTGAGGCGGAGGGGCTCTGCTGGGTGCCAGAATGTTGACAGAGAATCTGAGTGAGACAGAAACAGGTCCCGGCAACAGGCCGGAAAAGTCATCATCCACCAATGGCAGAGATCACGGACAGGCTGACGGCAGCTCCAGCCCTACATAAGCTTGATGAACTCCAAAGAAAGCTGAGCTGAGAAGCGCTGTGATTGGCATTGGCCCCGAAATTACCCAGGGAGGGTGAACTCTCGAGGCTTCAAAGCCAAGGCCTATGGACTCTCAAGGGGAGCTCGGAGAAAAACAAACTAAGCTCTCTCTCTCCCAAAACTTGATCTTTTGTCAACAGATAATGAGCTTTTAAAGGTCTAAATTTTTAGCCCCACAAGAAAAACTGCCAACTAATCAGGAGCAAGACCTTCAAGTCGAGTGGGTTATAGTGAAGGGTAAACACATACCTACTATTAGAGAAGCTACCCGCTTTAAACTGGCAAGTCAAACAAAGCATTTATCAAACAGAAGCCACTTGCGGCCCATTTAAAAACCCTACAAGTATTCTCCAAACATGCTGTCCACATCTGTGGAAAGTCAGCAGCCCTTCAAAGACCCAGCCGTAAGCCAAAGCCCAAACGTTCTAGAGGTCTCAGAATTATTCTCCGTATGGAGTGGAAGCAATTCCTGCTTCTCTAACTTTCGAGCTTCGGGAAACAGCAAAGACAAGTGCACAATGAACAGATGTTGTGGGATGAAATCCAGGTGGGCAACCCTTGCATTTGAACTACATCCCAGCATCTTATCAAAACTGCCTGGCTCCTTCCTGACTTAGCACTTGGCTCTGTGAGTGCTAAGAGGTAGGTGTTCCTCCTACCCCTGCGAACTGTCATTTTTGGCTCGACTGCAGGCTCCTCCCCAACGCATCCTCCAAGCGCTGCACATGCAAAGAGCGCGGGCTCTTATAAGTCCCTCTTACAAGAGGGTGAGCTCACCCATTCCTCTGAGCTTCAGAAATCATCTCTATGTTGCCAACTCCCAAAGTTATCCTCTCTCCTGCAGACTTTCCCTCCGAACACTAGACTCATATATTCAACTACTTCCTTGACATCTCTACTTGGAGGCCCAACACTTAAACTTTTAAAATATTAGCCTTCATTGGCTTTCAAGCATAGCTTTTAATTTTTAAAAATGCTGTGATTACTTTAAAGCAAAACCAATTCAGTACAGCACAGAAAGAAAATAAAAAATCACCTCAAAATTCCACCACACAGAAACAACCAGTTAACATTTATTGAACAATAACCCAGGTATCCCTATACATACGTATCAAGGAAAGAAAGATAAAAATCATTTTCCAAAAACTGAGATTGTGTTATGTATGCCAGTTTTAAATGTAAACCGTTACATTTAATTTTAATTAAATTTAACAGAAGAAACTAAAATGTGACCAAAGTAATTACTCAACTTCAGAAAAAATGTGTTTTTTTACACATAGTCATTAAAGGTCTGGGCACTTGTCCTAAAGTTAAAAACAGATCTTATATTTATTATATGTATGTATGCATGTGCCCGTGGAGAGAGTATATAGATACAGATGTATCTTAACAAATTAAGTCTTTTGCTCCATAAAAGTGGGATGTCTTCCCATTTATTTAGGTTTTCTTTAATTTCTTTCAACGGTGATTTGTAGTTTTCAGGGTTTAAGGTTTGCACTTCTTTCTATTATTCCCATGTATTTTCATCTTTTTTTTTTTAACATATATTATTTGTTTCAGAGGCACAGATCTGTGATTCAACAGTCTTACACAATTCACAGCGCTCACCATAGCACATACCCTCCCCAATGTCTATCTCCCAGCCACCCCATCCCTCCCCCCCCCCACCACTCCAGCAACCCTCAGTTTGTTTCCTGAGATTAAGAATTCCTCATATCAGTGACGTATATTTTCATCTTTTCATGCTATTATAAATGGAATTGTTTTCATAATTTCATTCTCAGATTGTTAGTGTAGAGAAATAAAAGTGCAGTTTTTATATTGACCTTGTATTCTATAACCTTGCTGAAATCACTTACTAGTTAAAATAGGGTCTGTATGTGTGAATTCCTTAGGATCTTCTGTATACAAGATCATGTCATCTGCAAACTGAGATAGTCTTCTCCCTTTTCAACCTAGATGGCTTTTATTTCTTTATCTTGCCTAATTGTATTGCTAGAACTTCTACTACAATACTGAATAGAAGTAGTGAGAGCAGACATCCTTGTCTTCATCCTGATCTTAGGGGGGAAAATTCAGTCTTTCACCATTATATATATTTTAGATGTGGGTTTTTCATATGTGCCTTCTGTCAGGTTGAAGATGTGAACTTCTATTCCTATCACAAAACAGTGTTGGGTTTTGTCAAATGCTTTCTCTACATCTCGTGAAATTACCATTATCATGTGGATTTTGTCTTTTATTCTACTGATATATTACATTAATTGATTTCCACATGTTGAGTCAACTTGCATTCCTGAAATGAATCTTGCTCAGTCATGGTATATAATCCTTTCTATATGTTGTTGGACTCAGTTTGCTGGTATTTTGTTGAGGATATTTGCATCTATATTCATAAGAGATATTAGTCTCATAAAATGAGTTAGGGAATGTTTTCCTCCTCTTTCGTATTCTGGAAGTTTTTATAGTATTGCTATCATTTCTTCCTTTAATGTTTGGTAGAATTCACCAATAAAGTCAACTTGACCTGTAGTTTTCTTTCTGGGAAGGTTTTTAACTACAAATTCAACTTCTTTACTAGACACAGGAATATTTGGGTTATCTCTTTCTTCTTGAGTGAACTTCAGTAGTTTGTGTCTTTCAGGGAATCTTTTTTTTTTTAAGTGATCACATTTACTGGCATAAAGTTGGTCATAATTTTCCCTTACCACCTTATTTTTTAAGTAATCTCTACACCCAACATGGGGCTCAAACTCACAACCCCAAGATCAAGAGTCACATGCTCCACTGACTGAGCCAGCCAGGTGCCCCTTCCCTTGCAGCCTTTTAACGTTTATGAATCTATAGTACTGCCTCCTCTTCTTGGGTGTTGGTAATTTGTTTCTTCTCTCTTTTATTCTTGTTCAACCTTGTTAATAGTTTACAAATTTTATGGATCTTTTAAAAGAATCCATTTTAGTTTCACTGATTTTCTCTGTTTATCTCTTTTCTATTTCATTGATTTTTGTTCTGATCTTTATTATTCCTCCCTTTTGCTTGCTTTGGCTTTAATTTGTTCTTTTTCTAGATTCTCAAATTGGAAATTTAGACCACTGATTTGAATTTTTTTTCCTTTCTAATATATACATTTAATGTTACAAATTCTTCTATATATTTTGTTTTAGACATTCAGAAGCTCTATTATTAGCTACATACACTTTTAGAATTACAATGTCTTGTTGATTAATCGACCCCTTTGTTATGTAACATCTCCCTTTATCACCTGTAAATATTCCTTATTCTAAATTCTACTCTCTGATGTAATAGTCACCCTAGCTTTGTTTTGATTATTGTTTACATGGTATATAATTTTACTTTTTGCCTACCTATATATTAATTTTAAATGGCTTTCTTATAGATAGCATATATTAGGCCTTGCATTTTCATCCAATCTGAAAATCTCTTCCTTTTAATTGTTCAGACCATTTACATTTAATATAACTATTGGCATGACTGGAATCATCTTGCTTGTTGTTTTTTATTTTCCCATCTGTTCTTTGTTCCTTTTTTCTCTCTCATTCTGCTTTTTTGGATTGAAGATTCCATTTCATTTCCACTAATGAGTGGTTAATTATGTTTGTCTATCTGTCCATCCACCCATGCCCCACCCCCCACCCCCCGCCCTCCCTGCCTCTTGGCTGCCAAACGGTATACAATATAGCTCTTTGGCTTATCACAGTCTATGTTCAAACAAAATACACCAATTCGTATATAGTATAAACACTTCGTAACAGTATGCTTACATTTCTTCCCCCATCTTATTCCTATGTTAAATATCCCACAATACATTGTTATCATTGTTGGTTTAGGTGGTCAATTATATTTTTTTAAAAATCAAAAATAGAAAAAAGTCTTTTATATGTATGCTCATTGTCACCATTTATGACGATCTTCATTTCACTGTATGTACCTTTATTTTCTTCTGCTTAAACTTCTTTAACATTTCTTGTTATGCAGGTCTGTTGCATTCTTTTAACTTTTGTTTGTCCTATAAAAAACAAAGTCTTTGTCTTCTTTCTTCAAAGGTGTTTTGAAATTTTTCATCCAGTACTTTAAAGGCATCTCTTTGATGTCTTCTTCTTTTTTTTTTATTAAAGATCTTATTTATTTATTTGACAGAGAGAGATACAGCGAGAGAGGGAACACAAGCAGGGGGAATGGGGGAGGGAGAAGCAGGCTTCCCATGGAGCAGGGAGCCTGATGCAGGGCTTGATCCCAGGACCCTGGGATCATGACCTGAGCCGAAGGCAGACGCTTAACACTGAGCCACCCAGGCGCTCCTCTCTGATGTCTTCTAACTTGCATAGTTTCTAATGACAAATCTGTTGTAACTATTAGTTTTATTCTTCTGTATTTAAAGTTTCTTTTTCTCTGGCTTCCTTCAAGATTCTGTCTTTGATATTCAATAGTTTAACTACAATACGTCTAAGTGTATGTTTCTGTTTATCCTGCTTGGGGTCCTCTGAGATTCTTGGATATGTGGTTTGTTGTGTTTCAGTAATTTTGAAAAACTCTCAGCCAT